CCACGTTTGCTTCCCAGCCTCCCCCATCCCTGCTTTCCTCAAAACACAGACATGCTACAAAAATATCTGTAGCTGAGACCTATTGGTAGGTTTTTCCAGGTCAACTACTTATTGCTTGGGATGGGCAGCACCCTACTCCGTTAGTGCAGAAACTGTGAACCATGCCCTTTCTCGTGTGCCTGTTACTGATCCATCAGTGACTGGCACCTGCCACAGACAGACTGGTTAGCATCCCTCTATTGTGTATTAGGGCTTCAGAAAAAAAATGAACAAGGTGCGAGCCAGGATAGGCTCCTTATTTGTTAATTCTGTACAGAAGAGCCAGGCACACACAGCGTTCAACCACACATATCTACCGGCCACCACCCCCCAGCAACTTCTCCGGAGGCAAATATTTTTATAATCTCTTCTGCATCCTCTCTCCATATTTTCCATAATTCCCAAACTCTTTTTTCCAAGTTACTCTTTTATTTATGAGAGGATGGTGATGATAGAATAGTTATTTTTCCTCAACCTAAGGCCACATGATTACTAAAAAAAGGAATTTGTTGTTGTTGTTGTTGGTGGTGGTGGTGGTGGTGGTCATTGAGACAGGAACTCAGACTCACTGTGTAGCTGAGAATGCCCTCAAACCCCAGATCCTCCTGTCCTCCCAAATGCCAGGCTTATAGCACCACACCCAGCACAGAAGGATAATTATAAACAGATGCATTTACTGAAAATATCCCAGGCAATGGACCGTATTGCTGGAGGTTAGATGCATAATCCCACCTCTTTCTTGAGGCAGGTAGAATGATCAGCTTCCCCGTGCAGATAAGGAAATTGTTGCATAAACAGAAAGCTCCGGAACCAGCTGCAGCTTCACTACCTAGCCTTTTCTAAATATCTGGTTTACTCCACTCATTGTTTGGCTGTTGATTCTGGGACAGGTATTTGCGATGTAGTTCCCGTGGCCTCACTTGCCACCATCCTGTCTTAGCCTCAGCCTCCCAAGTGCTGGGATTAGAAGAGGCCAAGTTGGCCTCTTCAGTTTTGAAGAGCTAATTTATCACAGAGTCTGTACCTCTACCCGAAACATTAAAATGAGGGCCCACAGAGACAGTTTAGTGGTTAAGAGCACTTGCTGCTCTTTCGGGGCACCTAGTCATGGTTCCCAGCACCCACATGGCAGTTCACAACCACCTGTAATTCCAGTTCCAGAGACTCCAACTTTTGTGGCCTCTGCATCTATGTGGTGCACACAGATTCATTCGGCCCCGCAGTCCAGTTCCAGGGGAGATGCTGCCCTCCTCTGACCTCTACTGGCCCAGACACAAATGTGATGCACTTACATACATGTAGGCAGGCAAAGCACTCACACATATAAAATATATTAAATAAATACTTTTTTGTTTGTTTTCTTTTTTTTTTCAAGGTAGGGCTTCTCTATGTAACAGCCCTGGCTGTCCTGGAACTTGCTGTGTAGACCAGGCTGGCCTCAAACTAATAGAGATCTGCCTACCTCTGCCTCCCACGTGCTGGGATTAAAGGTGTGTGCCACCACTGCCTGGCTTAAATAAATGCTTTGTAAAAGCATTAAAACACATTGCCTTCCTCTTTCTTTCCTGTTGTTTCTGTGTTCCTACCCCATGGCTGAGGATTTCTGTGCAGTAATAACCAATATAGATGTGCACACTTCTACATAAAGGGTAGTGATCTTTTCTTTTTTGCTGGAATTATGTGGCATAGCATTTTCTTGCCCCTTACAGATTTATTTTTTGTTTCATTTGCCAATATATTGAGAAGCTCACCTTATATAATATGTTACAAACTTCTTTGTTGCAGTTTTCAAATAGTCTGGTGTTCGGTGTAGGGATGTATCATAATTTACTGGCAAAGCATGTCATACTGCTGAACATTTAGGTAATTTCCATCTTTTTACTTTTCTGTTTAGTGCTGGAACAAGAACTTTGCACACACCATCTTACAATTAAATGTGTGTAGCCATTAAAATGTTTTTTAACAGATATGGAGTATCTACAGAATAGAGCTACAGGCCGAGAGTTGGTGGCACATGACTTTAATTCCAGCACTCAGGGAGGCAGAGGCAGAGGCAGGTGGATCTCTGTGAGTTCAAGGCTAGCCTGGTCTACAGAGAGAGTTTCAGGACAGGCTCCAAAGCAATACCGAGAAACTTTGTCTTGAAGAAAAAAAAAAAAAAAGGAAAACCAAAACCAAACCAAACCAAACCAAATCAAAAACAACAAAACCCCCAAAACCAAAAAAACAGAATAGAGCTACAAGGTTAATTGTGTGTGCATTTATAATTTTGCAAGAACATTTAAGATTGTCCTCCACAGACTTTGGGCCCCCTTCCAAATGACCATAACACGTGAGAGCACTGCAGTATTCTCTGTTAATTCAGGCTCTCCTACTCACATCTAGAAGATTTATCTTCTCAAAAATATCTCAAAGATGATTTATAGAAAAAGAAATACAGAAGCTAGGGATGTAGGTCATGGGTGGGGCACTTGCCTAGCAAAACCCAAGGCTCTTAGTTCAGTACCAACCAACACACACACACACACACACACACACACACACACACACACACACACACACACACACAGTTTTAGTTTCCCATTGTGTATTTTCCCCCTCCTTTGTTTAGAGCACCCCCTACCTTTCAAAGGAAGCTGAGGTTTATGAACTTGGATCATCGAGCAAACCTGCCCTGCTTAAGGGTTCAACCAGCAGATGGTTGACCTCTAAATCATGCACACAAGCCTTTCTATGGAGCTTTTAATAACACTTCACTGTTCTCCATTGCAGTAACCCACTGCTGGACAGCTCTACCACCAAGTTCCCTGCCACCAACCTTCCTAATAATACCCACACATAGCCTTCTCTCTCTTTCTCTTTCTTCCCTCCCCCTCTGGTCCTCTGTCCCTCTATCCCTCCCTCTTCCCTACATCTCTCTCTCCCTTCATTCCCTTTGTCTCTATTTTTGACAAAGAGTATCACCATGTAGTCTGGTGGCTTGTCTGGAACTCACTGGGTAGACCAGTCTGGCCTGGGACTCAGAGATCCTGTCTCTACTTTCACCAGTGCTGAGATTAAAGGCATTAACCACCACACCTTCCTTTTTCTTTTTTTAAAGACAGGATCACTCCATGTAGCCCTGGCTTTTCTGGAACTCCCATGGAGACCAGAATGGCCTAGAAGTCAAAGTGATATGCATGCTTCTAGGAGTCACCAGGTTCTTTGGGAGGCTTATGAAGGGCTACCACAGCCCCTCCTCCACTCATGGTGGATGTCTCCAGATTATCAGAAACAAGTCTTGGAGAAACCTTGTCCATTTCAGATGTATAAAGCACCCAAAGAAACAACAATCTTCCTTAAAAATCAACATGGCCCGGCAGTTGGTAGCACAGGCCTTTAACCCCAGGACTCAGGAAGCAGTGGCAGAAGAGAGTCTGTGAGTTCCAGACCAGTGGAGAAGGGGAGGGGTCTGCATAATGAAACCTTGTCTCAAAAGAGGGCACAGACAAGATGATGTTATTAGCAGTGACCAAAATTTGATAAATCTGCCAGAATGCTATCCTTTATGATTAGTTCTATAAAAAAATAAAAATGTAAAGGATGAACAGAGACATCCCTCACTCTTTCAGATTCTTGTCTTGTCTTCAGCAGGAAGAGCCAGGAGCAATCTCCTCGTCGTAATGGCAAAGCTTTGTCTTCAAGGCAACTTCAGTTCAGTTCTGAAACTTTCAAACGTGGTTTTGCAGGGTTCTCCTGAGTCAACTGCTCCTGAGTCACACAAAGGGGGCCTTTATTAATAAGCATATCCTGCTCATTGCAGAGAAAATGAATGCCTCAGAAGAATTCTACAAATGTTTAAAGAGAAAACAAAAAAAAACAATGTGGTAAACAGACAAGGACGTGATGAGCTGTCTAGGTAATTGGTTGTTTCTGTGCACCTGGTTCCAAAGACAATATTTAATGTGTAATCTGTTTCATCTGCTCAGGGAAGTGAGTGTAACTCTACCCTCTGGATCACATCTGCATTAAAATGAGGGGAGGCAGAGTCTCATTGCAGTGCGTGGAAATTTATGCACATGAGTTGCCTTTTACATGGAGACAGCAATTATACCCCTAGAAATGCAGTCTGTGGGAGAAAATGACATATTCAAGGCTGGGGAACAAAAGCCTAATGCTAAGGGGACATTAACAAGGTTGGGAACCCCCCTCTCAACAATTAACATGATCATTTACAAAATCTGCAGTCTATAAAATTATTTTTAAAACATGTTTTTCAAAACAATGTGGGTTTTTTTTTACTTTCCTAAAAAAATCATTAGCAATCATAGAGAATCTGCTTGACTACTCCACAGCAACAAATATATTAAATTCTCTTCAGATATACCTAATGATTAAAAACACCAAGAAGTGGTAAATGACCATTGGTTTAACAGCTCTGAATGGACATGGGGAGTGAGGGGGGGAGGGTGTGGGGTGGGAATGTGCCTAAGAAAAGTTCACCCTCACGTCAGAAAGTTGTGTTAGAAAACAGCAATCCTGCAGGGCGGTGGTGGTACACACTCTTAATCCCAACACTTTAGAGGCAGAGGCAGGAGGATCTCTGCGAGTTCTAGGCTGGCCTGGTCTACTGCACGAGTTCCAAGACAGCCTCCAAAGCTACAGAGAAACCCTGTCTCAAGGGTGTCTGCAGCAGCAGGGTAGGGATGTGGAGTGAGGTAGCAGAGTTAATACATGAAAGAACCCGGTCAACAACAACAACAAAGGATTGGGGGTTCTTTCCCGCCTGTGGCACCTAGAACAAACAGAGCGTGGCATAAGCAAGGGCAGAGACAAATAGACAGGAAAGGTGGATGCTGTGTAAATGACCTAAGAAACGCCTTGTGACTGCTGCTCCAGCGCTTTCTTGGGGGACAGGGCTTCTCTATGTAGCCTTGGCTATCCTGGAACTCACTCTGTAGACCAGGCTGAGATCTGCCTGCCTCTGCCTCTGCACCGCTGCGATTAAAAGCATGCACCACCACACAGCGCTTCTGAGCTGTCTTGTCCCAGATGACTAGTCAACTTTTATTCTCTGGAGTAACTTTTCCTTTCTTCACAAACTTTTTCTAGTACGTCATCAAGTGTTCCTGCTCTTCTTTTTCTTGGGACACAAGAACCTAGACGTCTCAGCAGGTGCCCTTCCCCACTGTGACTTCACCTAAAACATCCCTAACATACTGCTTTCTGGGCACACAGAAAAACCACATTTCACATACCACCTGTTTGCAGGTATGGCTTATATCACCAACGAACTACATTGCTACTAGACTAAGGTAGAGCACCATGAGTCAACACAGCCTACCAATTGTTTCACAAGTTCTCAGATTTTTAAGGCTTGACCTTCATATTTAGTAGTGCATTTGTATGTACTAGTAATCTGTATGTGCATAACTTTTTATTAATCTTTTTTCAAAATGTGAGTAAACATGCTACTTTTATTACTTTCATATGACATTTATCATTTCAATTTAAGAAAGCTTGATTTAAAACCAATATTGCCACATTTACATATTTAGAATGTGTGTGTATCTATTTGAAACTTTTATTAAACAGAAATAGAAACATTACTGATTTCTTTTCTTTTTTTCTTTCCTTCTTCTTCTGAGACAATCTCACTATATAGCCCTGGCAGAATTCACTATACAGATCAAGCTGGTCTAGAACTCACAGAGATCTATTCATCTCTGCTGGGACTAAACTGGCACCACCACCATGTCCAGCTTCTTCTTATCTAATCATCAATTTCTTGAAAAGAAAAGAAAAAACCGTAGAGGTTATATTAAATTAATTCTGAGTCTTTGTCATTGTTTTATTCCAAGCGTCTCAAAGTGATGATGATAGAACTTTTGCTTTATTCTGGGAAATCAGGTATCCAGTTAAGACTGTTCTGAATAGTGCAACGCCCAACACCCAAGTGGATGAGAGTCATGTGGAAGCAGACGATACTTTCGGGAAAATCTTCTTATTTTCTAATGGTTTCTATGACAGGGTCTCACACAGTCCAGTGAGCCTCCAACTACCTATGTGGCTTAGAAAGGGGACCCTGACTTCCTCATCCTCTTGCCACCACCTCCCAGGTGCTGGGATCTCAGGCATATGTCATTACTCTAGGTTCTGGACACTTGACTTGTCAACAGGAATCACAAGCCCTTCTTGATGGCAAGGTAGCTTCTCCAATGGAACACACACGAGAGCATGTGAGAGGCACCAGGGAACAATTTTTGGATGCTTATTTTCTTTAGTAAGTTACTTTTCCCTTTCCCCTTTCCCCAAATATGCCAGGCTAAGCACTGCTTCCCCTTGGCTGTGAGTCCATTCCTTTCCCATGCCCAGCCTCTTCTCCACTATAAAGAGAATTAGGTGCTTTGAAACTCGGGCTTCTTACAGGTCAACATCTTCAGCTCCTTGGGTGGGACACTTGCTTCCTCCATTCCAGACTGGTCCCCTGGATAGATGCTAGAGTACCTGTGCTGTTTGTGGAGTGCTAGGAGGACCCGACTCAACACACCTATCAGTTTAAAAACTCAAATTCTTTGTCAAAGAGAAAGTGGAATTGAGATTGGTGCATTTCCTACGTGGGTACTATTTGGCTCAAGACTGGGGGTATATAGAGATGACTGAATTTAACTGAACATAATTTATCTAGACGCTTAAGAAAATCAAAGATCATTTAGTAATTTTTTTCTATCATTAGTAGCAGATACTATTTTAGGAATCTGCAATAAAGTAAGTATATAGTTGCTTTATCCAAATGTAAGGAACTTTGCAACTGGTCTTCTTCCTTATTTCTTGGAGTTTCTTCAACAATAGAAAATATTCCTCCAAAGAAGATGAGCAGTTCCTCTCTGAGGATGGAGGGCTAATATTCAAAAGTTATTGATAGATAAGAGTCTCTACTTTGTTCTTACTAAGTAAGTAAAGAAAATCCCTCCATATTCTGATTTTCAATATTCTTGATAAAAGTAACACCAAATACCACAACAGAATAAGCAAAGGGCATTAATTGAAAGAAAACTACAAAATGATGCACAAATTCCAGCATCATTAATAATAACCAAATGAGTTCAAACTAAAATGAATTTTGGGGGGAGTTAATCTCAGGCTTCACAAAGAAGCAGGCAGGTCCTCCACCACTCTGCTACAAAACCAGATCAAAACAGTTAATTTAAAAAATTCCCTCCTGGACTGGACTGGTATAGTTCATGCCTTTAACCTCAGCACTCAGGAGGCAGAAGCAGGAGGATCTTTGAGTTGATGACAGCCTGGTCTACAGAGCAAGTTCCAGAGAAACCCTGTCTTGAAAAATCAACTACCTCTCCGGAAAAAACAAAAAACAAAAACGAACAAACCAAAAAACAACAAAACAAAAAAACCCCCACAAACCAAACCCAAACCAAACCAACCAAACAATCAAACAACAACAACAACTCAAAAAATTCCCAGCAGGCAAGGACAGGACAGGGTTGGAGACAGTATAACAAAGCATGGTAGAAGACACCTGTAATTTCCACACTTCTGAGTCAGAGACAGGAAAATTACTGTAAGTTTGAGTCCAGCTTGTTCTACACGGTGAGTAACAAGCCAGCCAGGGCTGTATAGTGAGATCCTGTCTCAAAAGAGAAGAAAACCCAAACACATTAATGGAAAGGGCTCAAATACTTAGCCATTAGAAGTATGACCAGGATTTCTTCTCTTGGGATTCTATCCTAAAGAAACAATGAGATATGCCCAATGTTGTGTGTAGCCACAGATCTTAGCCACTCTCTCAGAGAATACCTGATGACTTGGAAAACTACTCCAAACACAACCAAGAAACTAGGTGTCCTTATACATAATATGTGAATATCAATACAAAAGACTCAAATAAAAATGATTCCAAATATTTACTTACACTGTATGTAGCAAAATAATCTTACCTTCTTTGAAATACTCTTCTTTGAGGCTGGAGCAATGGCTTGGTGGTTTAGAACCCTGACTGCTTTCCCAGGTTTGATCCCCAGCACCTACATTCTGGCTTATAAGCAACTATAATGCCAGTTCCAAAAGAATCCCACACCCTCTTTTGGCCTCTGCAGGCATTGTAGGCATGAGGTATATAGACATACATGCAGACAAAACACCCATACATACAAAATAAAGTAATAATAAAAATGCTTGCTCTATTTTTAAAGTGCATATGACGTTATTTTTACTTTTAATTTCCAACAAATTTGTTTATTCTTATGAATACCTATTGTAAAAAATAGAGATATAAACCAAGAATAAAAGGTATACAGGAGGATACCACCGGTATATACAGGGTTTCACTTTGAGGCAATGAAGATGGTTTAAAATTGATCTTCAGTGATGATTGCTCAAGACTGTGAGAGAAACCTTTAAACTGTACTCTTGAAATGGGTGATGTGTATAGTAAGAAAATTATAGTTCAAGGAGTCTGGAAAGATGGCTCAGTGGTCAAGAACCTGCATGGCTCTTCCAGAGGACTAAAGCTATATTCCCAGGGCCCATGTCAGGTAGCTCACACCACCAGTAGCTCCAGCTGCAGGGAGTCCAGTGTTTCTGGCTTCTATGGACATCTGTATGTATGTACATATGTCTACACACAAACACACATATGCATGGTTTAAAATAAAATAAATCTTAAAAGGGAATTACAGCTCAAGAAAATTTCTATTAAAAAGTGGTTTGGGCCTGGGTGTGGAGGCACATACCTTTAATCCCAGCATTTGGGAGGCTGTGAATTTGAGGCCAGCCTGATGTACAGTGAATTGTAGGTCAGCCAAGGCTACCTAGGGAGTCCTTGTCATAACAAACAAACAAACAAAAAGTATGTGTTGGGGTGTATGTGGCTCTGCAGTTGAAAGCTTGCCAGCACACCTAAGGGTTCAATCTGTAGTGCATATACTTGTATGCATATACCCAAACATGAGTACCCCTCCGAGCACTCATGCGTGCGTGTGCAAACACACACACACACACACACATGTGCATGCCATTCAAATATTACCTGCACTGTCATAATCTCAAGATTATCACTGCTAGCATCTTTGTGCATAGCCCTCTAAAGTAATTTCTGTATAGCATACATGGTAGTTTAAAAAAAACTATAAAATTGGGTCATAGAATACATACCACTTAAAAGGCATTCTTAATTACAACATGTTTAATTTCATAATCAGAAAGTAAAATTGGACCAAAGGGTGGTTAGGAGAACCAAACTCTAGTCCCAGCCTTGCCTTAAGTAGTTATGAAACTTTGAAAAGCTGTGTGTTGGAGGATTAACTTTTCCAAAGATAACAGGCAGAGATGGGACCAGAGTGAGCTCTCTGGCAGCTCCCAAACCCCCTAACAGGATGACAGAGTAAAAATAATCTTGGGAGTAACAACTTTATTGCAACAGAAAAGACTGTTTATCAAAGGGTGACTAGTGAGCATCCAGATACATTGTGACATTAACTAAAAACAAAAAGCATAGAAGAGCATCTATTATGTTACCAGTTGTGACAAAGCAAAAGAAAACACATGTAATTGTTCCTATTTCTGGAACACTTCTGAAAGAATACATGGCAATCTGGCAATAAGAGGAAACTGGTTCTTTGTGCTTTCTTCACTACAGTCTGCCCTTTTGTCCTTGTATACTTCACGTCATTCATTTGTCCATGTGTTTTGGTGTTGGGATCGAACCCAAGGCTTTGAACAAGTGTTAGCTAGCAAGGCAAACACAGAGATACATCCCAGCCCCTTGAATAATCTTTTTAAAAACCCACCATATTAAGACAAAAATCTTGATAACAAAGGAATATGAATGTCTTGTATAGCGATGAAGAACTTACTTCCTGGTGCTAATCCATCTTATCCCTTCCCTTCTCGTGACTGGTGAGACCCACATGATTTGGACTTTGCCAGGCTACCCAGACGTGTCCTGTGGCCATTTCCACAAGCCTTCATCCTACTGGGTCCAAAAGGTTTTTTGTGAGTTCCTGGAAATATTGAGTTTTTACTCTCAGGTCAAATGTAGGAATTCAGTCAGTACTGACAGGTCTCCAACATGCAGCTGTGGCTCCCCACTAGAGGAGAAGAACAGAGACTCTGAAATCTGAAGTTACTTGCATAAGGTCACACGGCTAGTTCTCCACTATGTGTAATTAACCTCAGTAGCTGCTCTCTAGAGTTTCATTCAAAAAAAAAAAGTAGGTTAATAAAAAGGAAGTGCCTGCATTTTAGATATGGCTAGAATTGGGGCCACATTAGGCCTTAGAAAATTAATTTGATTTCTTATCTATGACAATGTCTTCACAGTGCAAATGCTCAGAGAAAAATCAGGGAAAGGAATATTCTCAAAAAATGGAAAGCCACCTTGATTCAGAGTTCTACCACAGTGAAATTTGGAATGTATTTGTTTAATTTGATGAAGAAATTGATTTGATCTTCTTAACTGCATTTACCCTAGGGACTCAAGGGACTGGCTTTTGAAGCCTACATCTAGACAGTGAAGCAACATTAACCATAGTGAAGTAAGTTAAAAACGCTAGGAACTTCAGAATTAGGGTCTCAGAAAAGATGCAAGGAGGTCAGTCAGGAGAGTCTGAAATGCTAGCAAAAGCTGCAGAGCCCCGGTAAACAATCTCCATCTCAAAGAAAGAGACCTACAAGCAGACTGTGCATGCACACGCCCGTACACACACACACACACACACACACACACACACACACACACGCGCGCGCGCATGTACGCACGCATGCACGCGCGCATGCTTTGAATCCATCTCATTGCCGCACCTCCCACCTCACAAATACAAATCCATATGCATTTCTCAGCAGTGAGATTCTGTTCCATGACTGTCAGATCTTTTGAAAATATGTGCATTTCTATTTTTATAATGTTTATTGTTTCTGCTTATTAAAGTAATGCTATAGAATGATTGGAACACAGAGATCTGGGAAAAAAAGATATGAGAGCACATTTCTAATGTGGGGGAGATGTTGTGAGACACAGCCTCTGCAGCTCAGGCTTGTCTGCCACTTACTAGGTAGCCCAAACTGATCTCAAACCTGTAGTAATTCTCCTCCTTCATAGAGAAAGACACACAGAGAGAAAGAGTCAGAGAAAGAGGAGGAGGGAGGAAGGGAAAAGGAGAGAGAGAGAGTGAGAGAGCGAGAGAGATTACATTTTCTGAAATATTGTTTTCTAAAATTGTGTGTGTGTGTATGTATGTGTGTGTTTACAGTATCTTTCCCTGTTGTCCCCCACTGTAATTATTATTATTGAGACAGGGCCTCTGTATGTAATTCTGGCTCTCCCGAAGTTCACTAAGTAGACCAGGCTAGCCTCAAATTCACAGAGAATGCTTGCCTCTACCTCCATAGTGTTGGGATTAAAGGTGTGTGCCACCACCTACAACACACATAATTTTTGAACTGGGATTTCCCTGGATATCGAATATCAGCTAGACTGGCCAATGAGCTCCAGTGATCTTTGTATCTCTGCTGGGCCAGTGCTAGGCTTCCAGGGCCAGGCTCCAGACAGAATGCTGGGATCTGAGCTTGTTCTTTTGTCTTTTGGGTCTCTGTGAGAGGGAGAGACAATTATGGAGTGATGGAGTCAAAATGCTAGCTCAGCTGTGTGTTTTCAATTTAGAACTTATTGTTGGAGTCTTCAACTTTGTAAGATGATGGTTATACTTTTATGCAAATTATTTTGGGTCTGACACTTATTATTTTCTTAGCATAAATTCTTGAGGTATAACTATAGTGTCAAGAGGCATAAATAATCTTAAGATGTTATGTATCACCTAACTATCTAAATTGTTTTCCAGTTTGCAATTTCCTCAGCAACTGTGTCCTTTATTAAATCAATTTTGTCAATAGAAACATGCTTAATTACTGACAAAAGTTGTGACTAATTGCATGGACTATTTTATTGGTATTACCATTTCTTTAGTACTTATTTACTCACAAACTCATTAATTTTCATTTATTCATTTTGAGAGAGAGTCTGTCTGTGTAGTCCTGGAACTCCTTATGTAGACCAGCCTGGCCTAGAACTCACAGAGATCCTATCCCTATCTCCGAAGTGATGGGATTAAATGTATGCATCACTATGTCTGGATTACCTTTTTTTCACTTTCTCCAGCTCTTAAAGGATACACATTTCTAGTTCTCACATATAATCATTTTGATTTTCATCAAATTTGATTTTGTAATTACAGCATCCATTTTATTGATTTTAAATTTTTTGTACATTAAAATTTTAATCCTTTTGAATATGTGTTGTGAATAATTTCATTCTGTTCCCCTCTTATTTGATTAATCTTTGAATACTTTTGGGAAAAGTTTTACATAGTCAATTCAAATAAATTATTCTAGTTTTCTATTTGGAAAGTAATTTTATTTCGTTTTAAAAATAATTTATTTACTTTATTTGCATTGGTGTTTTTCAGGCATGTATGCCTGTGTGAGGGTGTCAGACTTGTAGTTACAGACAGTTGCTAGTTCCCATGTGGGTGCTGGGAATTGAACCTGGGTCCTCTGGAAGAGCAGTAAGTGCTCTTAACCACTGAGCCACCTCTTTAGTCCAGAAAGTAATTTTATTTCTAAAATAAGAATTTATTTACTCTTGCTTTCAATTAATTCATGATTTAAAGATATTTGACTGTTATCTTGGTGGTGCTATTCATCGATAATCCCAGTGAGAGTTCTAGACCAGTACCCTCCCCCACCTCTCTCTCTCTCTCTCTCTCTCTCTCTCTCTCTCTCTCTCTCTCTCACACACACACACACACACACACACACCCTATTTATTCCTTGTATAAATATTTCAGCACTGATGTGAGTTGGCACTAACAGATCTTTTCCAAAGTCTGTTAAACATGGTTTAATAAATAATCTTTCTTCTAAGACTTTGCAACACTTTTTTTTTACCACAGCAGTTGACCCATGTCATACACTGGTGTGTCAGGAGGGACGATATCAATGCCCAATTTGAACAATGGACAGCTTCAGGATGTACCGTGTGGTACCCACACTTCATTGAGTACAGTAGCTGATCAATAAAGTCATGAAATATACAACTAATAAGTCATAGGTATGCCTGGAAAATTTAAATAAAAAATAATGTTCTTGACGATTTCCATTGTTTCCATTTGGGAAGGAAAGTGCTGAGTCTGCCATTTTTAGTGGTCATTTTAGCTTCAGTTTCTCTTCTGTCTTCCACTATCACGATCAAGTCATTTCTATCTTTAGATCATAGTACTAGTTTCATGATTTTTTTTGTCATAACATCAGGACTAAATTTCCTATCTCACGGCCTTTTAATTTATCATTATCCAAAAAGAGTTATGATGAACTGGGTGAGTCTTTCCTCACACTTGAATGATGTACATTTAAAGGCAAGAAAATTTCTATGGATTGCCAATTATACTATTTTTATTAAAATGTCACTGCCATTAAGAGGTACAAAACAAAATGACCATGATCCAGAGTATGCATGATACTAATTAATTTCTTTAATATGACTTCCTTTTCAGACATTGTAATTACAGCAAAGGCACAAATCTCCTGGATTAGGAGAACCTGGGGTTGGGGCAGAAGAACAAAAGCCCTCGTTGACATCTGACAACAGACGCTGGACTCATTTCTCCTCAAACCACATGGAACCCTCAACCCTCTCTCCTTAGGCCATGTGAAAGCTAACCCAGACTCAGTGCTCAGCTTAAATGGGAATAGTCACTAGCCCTGATATCAGCATCTGCATACGCTGGTGACCATCACGTGCCTATGATACCAAACAAAACATGGACAAATTACCAACCCAACACTTAAAATTACTCTCTTTAACGAGAATACTTTGTTGAGAAGAAATGTCTATCCCCATCACAAACATGATACCATTGCCTAAGAGGAAGAGGTGGGTTTTGGTTGTTTGTTTTTCTTTTTAGTTGCCTCAGGATTTTAGATGCCTGCCCCTGACTGAATAGACTATCAGAATCTGCTCATTGCTACAACCATTAGCCTTTATTTTTCTTCCAGAACCCGTCAGAAGTGGAGCTGCAGCAGTGTCAGGATCGTTACCAACACTTCCAGTCCTGGAGCACCTCGCCAATACTATTTGAGAGAATTTGTTTTGGGAAGTTGGTAAGCCTAACAAAACTGATGTCTGCTTGATGCATTTAAATAAAACATGTTCTTCTATCCCATCCTAAAATGTAAACTCTGGAACCAACAGGAAATGGCTTCAAGATACAAATGACTCAATTCAGATATCTAAATATTTTAAAAGAGAAGAACTAAAAACATTACAATTTCTGGCATACATTCCTTACAACCTCGAGTATAGAAAGGATGTGGTTATTATTTGTAGGATTAAAAGCTTAACTACAAAAATGAAGCTGCCTGTAAAATCTTATGGGATAAATTCCCCACATTTTATAGAAAAATAACATACAGGACTCTTGGGTTGCTCAAGACCCTATTTCTTAATAGCTTTTGAAATCTGTTGACTTTTAAAAATGAACATGTTGATCTGCTTGTAAAGAAGGAGGATACGCAGAAAACAGAGAAGATGCCAATTCACAATGCAGCAGGCAGTTAATTAAGAGGAGTCGGGCTTCCTGAAACATATGACTGAGATTGGAGAAGCTTAGACTGACAGAAGATGTATTTCCTCCAAGTTACTTTAAGGGTGTGAATTTTTTCCCCCACCAGGGTTAAATCAGTGGGTTGGCTCTTGGGGTGGAGGTAGTGATTCTCAACCGGGCAATTTTGTACTCAGGAGACATCTGGTTGTCACTATTGTGATGGGAGAGTTGTCCTATGGAACCAAGTGAGTACCAGTTGAGGGTGCTGCTAAATATATTTCAACATATAGAATGGCAAACCAATTATCCAGCTCTAAGTACCAGTAGTGCCAAAGTTGAGAAATCCTGGAATAAGGTTCCTAGGCTAGAGGGTTGCACCCTGTGTGCTCAGGGCTTGTGTGAAAAGCTGTATTCTAGTGTGCCCTCTTAACTTTACACAAAGGCATGCACACACAAAGTTACAGCACAGGGCCACAAGTACTACACGGAGTCCTCCCTTCTATACAGCCTCTTAGAACACCGAATAGTCACAGGAGAGCTGTCAACACGGTCTTGCACTGAGCTAGCCACAGTAAGAATGCATAAGAGTAGCTGTCCAAAGCAGGTCAAGATTCCTCAATTCACCTCTCTAGCTTTCAGGAAGCCATTATTAAACATTCACACATTCAACCCCACCAGGCACGATGATCTATGACAAACACAACCAAACCCGGTGCCTGACCTCATGGAGGGGGTTGTGAACGTTTGGAGGGCTACAAGCATACAACAGCTTGAAGAGGTAGCTGCATTGGCACCTTACAACCACTGCCTGCTATTTTTCCCTCTTAGGTTAAAAGCGTGTCCAAGGTCACAAACAGCGGCAAAGGATGACAAAGCGTCACCGAGGGCTCTGTTGGATTGTTTTATTGAGCAGGATACAGATTGGTACTCTTACCTTGATACGACCTGAACTCTGGTCTCCTGATCTCCACCAAATATAACTACAAGGCCCTTCTAATCAACGACCCAAACACAAAAGAACCAACAAGCTTCTTGTCTTTTTGCTTCTACAACACCTGAAGACTATTTTCTAGCTGTTTCTTGTACATATGACTGTGTTGCTAGCCCGACTGCAAACTCCTGCAAAGGCCAGATCTTCCATTTCCTTTGCAACCTTCTGCAGTGCTGCAGCTAAGAGACCCAATAAATGCCCTCTGCATGAAGGGACCTGTAGGGATAAAAAATACTTTATGTTTTTCCCATTTACCGATGCCACGATTTTACTTTGCTTTGTGATAGATTTGTACATTATAAGCTTGTAGAGGGCAGAGGAAATGGCTTGGTGCTTCCACACACTAAGCGGGCACCATGCAAAATTTTATCCTTGCATGACTTTTTTGATGTTCCGGATAATATTAGCACACTGGGGTGTTTTTGTGTATCCAAGGACCGAGGTTGTCAGCCTCTCTGCATCGGGGAATGTTCCTTCCTTCCCACTGTAAGCTCCCATGGCGCCTAGGACAGGGCGGGATTATTGTAGAAGCCCCCTCCCCCCGACTTGCTTATTTTTATTACCAAGGAAGCAGACTGCGAAAATGGCAAACGCTTGCATAACCCCAGACCCTGCGAGGAAATGAGCAGAGTGGAAGGGGATCAGCAGGCAGGGCAGCGATGGCCTGGCCAAGGCGGAGCGTTAAAAATCCACCCCTCCGCCTGACACGCAGGGTTAGAGATGAGTGAAGGAGCCCCAGCAGTCCCTGGCCAGTCTGCCTGCCGCTCGCCCGCCCCGCGCCCCGGGAGCTGTCCAGACGGCCCCGCCCGCTCCTACCTGGCCGCTCCCCGCGCCGCGCCGCGCTCCTCCCCCCCACCGCGTCCCGCCAGCCCTGCTCGTAGCAATCCGCAGCCCGGGCGGCCCAAGGGGTCGGGGGTCGGGGCGTCGGGTGGGCGCGGTTAGGCTGGCGGGCTCCCCGGGGCCGGGCGCCTGCAGGGGGCGCGAGGAGCGCCCCGCCCCGCCGCCGGCCCTCTCCCTCCCGGCTCCCTGGATCCGCGCCGGGAGGAAATGATGTGTTGCTGCCTGGTTAATCACAGCTCCAGACACTCATTGGCCGAGCGCTCCGCAGCCACTTCCTCCTCCTCCTCCTCCCGCTCCTCCCGCTCCAGCTCCCGGTCGCCGCCGCCGCCGCCGCCCCCAAGCGCTGGGGGAACTTTGCCGCCGCCGGCTCCCCGCCGCCCCCGGCCGAGCCCCGCGTCGCCGCAAGTTTCCTCCGCCCTCCTCCCCGCCCTCCGCCTCCCTCCCCGCGCCAGTCGTCTTCCCGGCTCCAGCCGGGTGCCTGCCGCCAGCCTGCGTGCGTCCCGGCCCCGTGGCCGCCAGCCTCCCGCCCCGTACCGCGCCGCGCCGCGCTCCGCCACCGCCTCCGCCGGGGACGCCCGCCCGCGGCCCGCGGAGTTCCGGGGCTCCTCGCCGGCTGCAGCGCCCCGCCCCGCCCCGCGCCTCCCGCGCCGCCCTGCAGCGCCCCGCCGCCTCGAGCTCTCCGCCTCCTCGGGTTCAGCACCCGGCCGCCGCTGGACCAGAGGTGAGGACAGGTCGCCGGCAGCGCCGCCGGAACGCGGAGGACCGAGGGAGGAGGGAACCTAGCCGGAGGCGAAGCCGGGATCGGGGGTGGAGGGTGGGCGTCTCGGTGCCTCCCCCTCGCTTTCATTCTTTCTCCGGCAAGCTGCGTGCCCTCTCGACAGGGGGAAGCCGCGGCGGAACGAAACTGTCTCGCTTAGGGCCTCGGTTGCGGGTGGGATCCGGGGAGGGTAGAGGTTTGGAGCTGGGGGCTCGGGTGTGCTCGGGTGTGTGTAGGGTGAACTCCTTGCAGGGTGTGCGCCTCGGACTTATAAAT